AGAAAAGGGGGGATAGGAGGGGGTGGAGAGGTTGTGGGGATGGAGGAAGTGGGGAAACAACGGGTACAGGGACAGGAGGGGACAGAGGGATGAAGGAATGAAGGGATATGTGCGCAGGGGGGATGGAGGATTGAAGGGGATGGAGGGGACAGAGAGGCAGCGAGGGCTCCAGGAGTGCAGATGGGAAGGCAGAGAGGCGGCTGGGATGGGGACAGGAGGGGACAGAGGATGCGGGGCGGGAGGGGTGGCAGACGGAGGGATGGAGGGGAAGGAGGGGCAGCGGGGGCAGAAGACGGAGGGATGAATGGGGACGGAGGAGCGATGGGGACGGGGACGAGAGGGGACAGCGGGACGCAGGGCAGAGGGGACAGGGGACAGCCCTTACCTCCACGTCCTCCCCGTAGAACCGCACCATGGAGGCATCGGCCACCAGCAGGGTCTCCACGTAGCGCGCCTGGGACACGAACCGCCTGTCCCTGCGGCGCTGCCCGCCCGTCCCGAGGCCGCTCCCGGCGGGACGAGCCCCCGGCGGGGCCGAGCGGCGCCTCAGCCGGTGCGGCCGCGTCCAGGGCGGCCCGGGCTGGGGGTGCCCGAGCGGCTGCAGCTCGTAGGCCGCCCCGTCGAGCAGGAAAGCGGCGCGGAGGCCGCTCCCGCCGCAGCTGCTGAGCACGGCGGGAGCCTCGGGGCTCCCCTCGACGGCGCCCGAGTAGAAGCAGCCCCGGCGCGGCGGGGGCGGCTGCGGGCGGCGGCCCCCCAGGCGCTGGAGGCGGAGGCGGGGGGCCAGGAACGCGTTGTCGGGGCGGAGGCGGAGGACGACGGCGCGGCCGAAGGCGGCCAGGCGCAGGGCCAGCTGCCCCGACGGCGCGGGCAGGCGGGCGGGCAGCACGGGCTGCGCGTCCCGCGGGGGCGGCGGCGGCAGCGCCCACGCGTGGCACAGCAGCAGCAGGTGGAGAGGGGCCCGGCCCCCCAGCAGCGCCCGCCGCCCCATTCCCGCAAGGCCCCGAACCCCCCGGGCTCTCTCCCCCGCAGCCTCCGCGCCGGCCGCCGAGCCCGCTGTATTTATACTTTCTCCCCCCGGCTTTGACATAAGAGGTTTATTTTTGATCTCTCGCTGTTCTCCCCACTCCCCTCCCCTGCCAGCCGGAGCCTGGGGGAGGAGGAGAAGTGAAAGAGAAAAAAAAAAAAAAAAGGCGAAAAAAAAAAAAAAAAAAAAAAAAAAAAAAAAAAAAAAAAAAAAAAAAAAAAAAAAAAAAAAAAAAAAAAAAAAAAAAAAAAAAAAAAAAAAAAAAACCAACAGGAAAAAAATGAAGAAGCAGAGGAGAAAAAAAAAAAAAAGGAGGGGAAAAAAAAAAGAAGAAAAAAACCCCAACAACCCACTTTTGGATGCGATTTGAGGCCAATCAGACGCAGGCAGCCCCGCCTGCCTCCAAGTGTCAACTCCAGCCTGTTGCTCTCCCAACATTAACCCCTTCTGCAACTCCAGCGCTTCCCGCCCGGGTCTGATCCTGCCCAGGCTCGGGAAGGAACCTGTCATCGGGAGGGGGGACTGGCACCTTTTTGCCCCCACACCGTGGAAGGATTTACCCCAAGGGGCTGCTTCCTCTCCCATTTCCCTCAGCATCCCTTCCCGGTTGGAAAGCACCCGGCCCTTGCCAGCTGGAGAGCATCTTGTTTCAGAAGGTGCCTCCGGAGGTTCCCATGTCCTTCCCGTAGCCAGGGACAGAGAGGGCTTTGGGCCCCAGGGAAAACTCCATCAGGGACACACGTACAAGGAGTTTCCATGCCCTGAACCAACAGCTGGATCCACGTGGGGTTTCCTCCAGCTGGAACAAGGCAGAGGGCTAAATAAGACTTCTGTAAAATACCTATGAGAATAAAATAATGCAGCCAGCTCTCATGTTCCTTTTTTTTTCTTTTTTGTTGGTTTTTCTTTTTTTTTTTGGTTTTGTTTCTCTTTGTGTGTTGTGCGACTTCATTTACAAACCCTTCATTTACCCCCTTTCAGACTGAGTCTTAATTCCCATTCACATTCCCTCGCAGTGAGGGGAAAATCCTACAGGAATATCAAAGCCTCAGGCTGTAGATCCAGGTAGCTGCTGTGTGCTCAGCGTGGCAAACACCAGGAGAAGGGCAGAAACACTCTGTCCCTGGCTGACATGAGAAGGGCAAGAAACACTCTGTCCCTGGCTGGGAACCCGCTCAGCCCCAGGGAACAACTGGCTGTCACGGAGAAAGGGAAATCACTCACGGGGAAATCACTACGTGTATGTTACTCCTTCTTTCCTCTTAAGCCCTCCTTCCCCATTAGTTCATGAGATTTCGGGCCTCTCGTGCAGCACTGGAATATCTCAGGGTGTGTTTGCTGCAGACTGGGGGTTGTGGGTCCTATCCTGCTGCATGCCCTGATTTTTGAAGCGTTTTACAGGGAGTAGCACACACGACCAGGCTTGTGCTCCTTTAACCCTGCTGGGGATGCAACCCAAGGACCTGCTCCTCCACGCTGAGGGTTTTTTATTCCCCTCAGTCTAATCCTAAAAAGATCCAGCATTTGGCACCTCAGGATTCCTGGGAAACCAAAGTCTGGCCAGGGCTGAGTAAACGAGGCTCAGGGTTAAAGGCTGCTCTCCCTTTACTCCAGGATGTATTTACATCTTTCTCTCTATTATTATCTCCACTTAAAAGCCACATCCCTACCTATATAGTAAACACACGGCCTTGGCTCTAAATAGAAGCTGCCCTGGGGACAAGGCTCTGGTTACTCCTTTTTTAATGTGTGGGGTTTGTGCCTGGAGGAGGGGAGGAAATAATAATTAAAAATAGTTTCGGATGCTTGTGGTGGACAGCAATACAGATGTGGAGGGGGACACTTCCAGTTCGGATGCTGGGTGGCCAGAAAACCGCAGGGAGAGGGGAAAGCACCCCCAGGCACGGTGTAGTTTGGTATAGGATATCTCTCCACGGCTGTGTATCCAACCTGTACAGCCCCCTCTCTCCCCTCCCGCAGCTGGAGCCGCTTCTTCCCCTCTCCAAGGGTGGATTTTCCTCCCTCTGCAGCTTCACCGGGCCGGGGAGAAAACACACTTGGTGCTTCCTCACAAAGTGAGCCCTGACTCTGCCTTCCTCCAACCCCACACACCCCACTGAAGGTGCCAGAATTCCCCCGGGCTTTGCCTTCCCACGGGAGGGGAGGCAGGGAGGAGGTGCCCCTGCTCTGAACTGGGACAGGTAAGGCTGCAGGCGACAGGATGTAATTTATTCCCGGCTTTCCGCTCCCGGAGCTGCATCTTTGATCTGGGAGGACGTGCTTGCATCTTAGCTTGGAGGCACCGCTGGTTTTCATTAGCGGCTCGTTCTGCAAACAGTAGCTGGAATTTCTTGCAGCCTCGCCGGGCTCGTTACGAACCAGCTCGAAGAACGCCGGGAGAGAGAAAAAACCTCACCTGGCTGCACCTCCGCATCTCCTCCCTGCAGAGGACGACGCACCCCAAGCCTTGTCGGGGTTCCTGCTTCTTAACCCCTTGCAGGACGCGCTGTCACCCAACTTCGCCCTCCTCTCTTTTCTAGGGGCTGCCCGAGCATGTGAAAGCCATTAACTCCCCCAGTCAATGTGATTTAAAGACCCTTTTGATCAAGCAGCTTGAAAACGTCTGCCCCGCTCCCCTTTGCGTGTCCGCAGCTCCGCGAAGGCAGGAGGAGGGCACGGCCCTTCTGCATCATCCCCGAAGGGTTCCCGCCGCCCAACACCCATTTCCCGAGGGACTTTGGGCTGCCGGGACGAGCCCTGCGTTGCATTTGCTGCTCCTGCTCAGCAGCAAGAGAGGGTTGCCCCGTTTACGGGGGTCTCTGGGGTGTTTTGGTGTCACCTCCTCGCTCCGAGAACGGGTTCGCATCCAAATTTGCAGCGTCCGGCTGAGTCTTAGTTATTCCCGCTTGCCCTCAGCCCAGGGAAAACCCTTGGGAGAATTATTTGAGCTATCACTGAAGCAACTACAATCTCCCAAAAAAAGAGATGAGACCGCTAGATGTCAGTGCCGCCCTACGCTGCTCAGGGAAACCCCAAGTCCATCCCTGGAAAATTTTCTGGGAGAGCGAAGTTGTGCTGCAGCCCTCTCAAACATCACCTGATGTTAAAAGAAGCGGTACCATCAGTTTTCGTTTTAAAGGAAGGAGGTGGGAGGGAATCTCTCCCGGCAAAGCAGCGGGGTTTTTAATCAGCGCCCAGCCAAGTTGTGTTCGGTGAAACCATCCTACCTGCAAAGTGGGGGTCAGGAGAATGGTTGCTTGCCTGAGGTTTGCAAGGAAAGGGGAGATTTGGGCTTCATTTGGAGCCAGTGAGTGAATTAAACAGCAAAACGTATCAATATGAATCATTAATCGCTGCCCTGCCCCTTCCCGCTGCATGGCTACAGCCACGAGAGGGCCCCCCTGCCTTAAAAGTGGTGGTGATTTAGGGTTTGGTGCCTCCAAACTCTCAGTACCCCACAGAACCCGGGGTTTTCTTCCCCTTCAGGGCAGTATTTCACATCCCTCCCGCCCCCCGGAGCTGCTGCATCCACAGCACAGGAGGTTTGGCAGCTGTGAGAATGGTGCTGGGCAAACACCGGTTCTCCTGGACCCCTGAAACACGGCAAAAGCAGATTTTTAGGAGTCAGGGACATCCAGGCTGGGTCTCAGTTTATCAGATGTTGATGAAACACTTGGTGCCCTTGTTGCTGGGAGCATCGAGAGCCGTGGCTGTGATTTGATTAATTACTTTGATTTTATATTATTTGAAAGGATTCCACCTCTAATTTCTAAACCATCTCTAGATTTTATCTCTTTATCTCCATTTTCCCATATTAATTCTCTATTTTTAATGGCATTTTGATTTGTAACACCATCATTTGTAACGCCTTCAATCCCATTTCATCCCTGGATTTAATTCTGTTCCACACCTGGATTTCCAGAGCGAGGAGGAGGCACCAGAGGGCAACCTTGCTTCAGGGTTGGTTTGTAGCTCCAGTTGTGTCCAGATGTGGCTGTAAGGGAAGCAGGTTTATGGCTTTCCAAAGTCAAGGGCCAAGGTTTTAATTCCAGCACCACAACCTCCTCCCTGGGGAGCTGCTTCTCTGCTTCCAAGCTACGCCTGGAAGCTTCCAAGGTATCCTGAGACCAGCCCAGCAGACCTGCAGCTTCACCCCTGGTGAATTTGTGCATCTTTGGTGCCTCTGTTCCCACCATGATCATCCCATGAAGGGAATTAATCACGGGTGGAACCTGTCTCGGGTGGGAACAATAGCAGAGCTGTGAGTCCTGGGTCATAAATCTGCAGGCTGAAGGTGATCAGAATGGCATGAGATTGTTTCTTGGGATGTGTGGGACCATCATCAAGGTCCTCTAAATTTTCTTGTGCTGCCTTAAAACACTCTGGAGGAAATCTGTTGGAAAAAAAAACAAAACAGGAGAGACCCTTAAACACCAAGGGGGGTGAAGAGAGAAGAGAATTTTGGATGCTTTCAGGGAAAAGGAGCAATCACCAACCCCAGGACCTGCAATACTGGACGGAAATTGGGCAAAACCAAGCTTTATGGGTTTTTTTTTCAGCATACCATGCTATTCCCATGTGGAATCCCTGTGAGATTCTAGTGGAGACATTATTGGGACCATGTGAGAAGGCAGCAGAGATGCACAAAGCACAGGGACCCTTCTCCTGGTTTAGGTCACAAAGTCCTCCACGTGCTCAGGTTTCTCACCTTCGATAACCTCACCTAGACACAGCCAGAGTTCTCTCTCCAAGCCTTTCTTTCCTGGAAAACCTCCTAACAGTGCACTTTGAGTCATCCTCAATCCCTGGAGAGGATCCTCCTTCCTGCCCATGTGGTGGGGAGTTGGGAGAGCACAGCCTGAACTTTTGGGAGGGAGCCCAAGCTTTGGATCTGCCAACCTTTCAGCCAAAGTCAAGTGAGGGGCCTGAACTCCAGCTCTTCCTTGCCTTAACCACC